GGCTATGAAAAGCGGCAACTGTTGAAACAGTGTACTGCACAAGATGCAGCAGCGAAGCTCTACGTGCAGAATATAACCGCTCCAGCGCATGGCGACGTTTGTAGACCATCAGTCAGTGGTGTAGTGGGTAGCATGTCGCGTTCGAATGTGAAGGGTAGTGGTTCGACTTCCTCCTGGTCCGCAATCATTTTCGAGAAAGGCTCCGTCCACGACATTCAGTGCCACAGAGTGATGATTTTCAAAGTTAGCTAATTCAAATTTAGATATCAGTGTTATGGGATTATGGATGATAATGACAATGACAACAATCATGAGGCGTTGATTAATTCTCCATTACTTAAAAGAAGGGTGTGCAGGCCGCGTCTAATTACCAAGGACGGGAGATGCACTTTACGTCAAGTCGGAATGTCGCACCCCTACCGATCTGCTTGCAGGTATGGTTTTTGCCTCGTTACTTCTACCCAAAATATGATCAACTGCATATCACGCGACATCCTCCATTTCCAATGGCTTTGACCAAGGCTGCATCGTCTGGTAGTCAGTATGCTGCTGACCATCATGACGCTCGTTTCGTTTCGTGGAAGGATTACCGCGTTAATTTTTTTTTAAAGTACCAGGCAAAACTTTAGTCGTTTCGAGATGTCTTTGGGTACTGAGCATTAAAAACTCGTCTCGCGTGTTGTCACCCCAAGATTACGATGAGGTGTTTCCTCTTTTCTTACTTAATCTAACATGGAAGCGACAGCGGATGTCTATGATATACAGCTGCTCAAGTAATCAATTAAGTAAGTAAGACGAACGATTCTTGAGATTAAAGGTATCCCATCATCCTTCAAATCATCTGAATTTGCATCCTCAAAAAATTCCGGTAATACTTTGCGGACTTAGTTATTTTCAACTAAATAGGACGAGCTCAATAAATGAACTACAAATGCGGATAAAAAAATAAAAATAAATGCGCAAATGCAAGCTTGTATACTGGATGGCCAGATACTGGCCTTCGAATCTTGCAATTACATTTCTACATAATTATCTCGTTTGTCCAAACAAGGTTTTTTGTTAATGATTCTCATCTTGCAAAAGTGGGAGGTATACAAAGATACACAGTAAGCAACGTTGAATGACAGTGACGCTTATTCAATGTGAAAAATGAACTAAGAAAATTCGTTTTTTCTAAAAAGGATCTATTTTTACATCCTAAAATTCC